CTTTATCCTGRTTTGAATGGTGTGCCAAACCTGTCAGTAAGTGCTGCCTCAGAATGCTATGGTACTTTACCATGTTGTGCTCCTGAAACAGCTGTAAATGTTTAATAGAATACTCATTTAAAGAATTCTTTCATCCAGTGTGAATTTTACTGCATTCCTCCCTGATTCTACATGAAGCAGTTCCATTAGAAATACTAATTAAATATTTGTTTCATGAAAGCCTAAAACTACAAATCTTAGATGGCTTAGGAGCAGTGTATATACAACAGTATTGTGCATTYAGATTTTTATTTGAGCTTGATATGTTGACTTTAAAGTCTGAGTTATATTATTGCTTTGGTTACCTCTCTTTTGTAAGAGACTGTTGTGTTTAATGGAAAGGCTCTGAGGATGTTTTCCCTTTTAAGGGGAATGTTTTCCCTTTTTTAAGATGCTAAAATAAGTATGATATTGGTTTTAAACTCCTCAAAATGTTCATTGTTATAAAAAAAAATCCCAATACTACATTTAACGGTGAAATATGATTAGTTTTTATTTTGGGTGATGCTTTTACTAACAGCAGTCTGAGTTTGTCCAAATTGTAACTTTTTTAAGTGAAGTTGTTATTTCTATGTATCACTTTCCTTTAACTCAATATTATGTAAAGAAGGCAGATGAGGAGGCTAAAGCCTATGAGGACAAAAAGTTGATAATGTAGAAATGCTGAGGGTATGCATCTCCTTCACAAATTTTTCATTGTTTTTGAGGGATTTTCCTTCATGTGTGTCTTAGTAGTCTTAATTCTGTGATGGAATTAGCTGTGTTGTATTAATGTAGCTTGTTTTTCTACCAGCCCTTCAGGTTGATTTAATTAATGTATGATTGAGAATATATATTTTTTTAATTCTGAAAATGCTGATGCTGCTAAAAATGCTAGTTAGGTCTCAATTCATAGGAATATACACACATGCACATGTGTTTCAGCCTATATTATATGTGTACAAACAGATTTCAGAGGTGTTTATTTATGTCAAACACTGGTTTAAAAAATGTAAAAAGAACCAATAGCTCTGTCATGCCTTGTCTTAGGAAAACATTATGTCCTATCAGGGTATAGGTCAGGGTGTCACAGTTGATTGATTTTAATTAAAACATAAAATGTAAGCACCAGTATTTTCCCCTGTGGATGAGGTGGTTCAAAGCTCTTCATCTTGCCACGGTGTCTCATAATGTAAAGGTCCACAGTGTGGGTTTGTGGAAATATTTAGAAGTTCCCACTTTTGCAGCTGTATTCTTGATCACAAAATGTTGTACAAACTTAATTATCTTTGAAACTTCTTACCCATTCGTTTGTGAAAAGAGTTTGAAAATAAAAAATGTCTTCAAGTGTTGGAAAGAAGGATGGAGAAAATGTGGGACCAAGGGCAAAAAACACCCTATGTGTGTTTGCAGAAGCATTCATGTGATTGTGTAAATTTATTTTCCTTAAGATACCAGATGTAGAAGGGATAGACAAAGAATGAAAAGGGGAAGCCAGCTGAGGTTTGGAAGAGGAAATGAGTGGAAAGGGCAGGTAGGCATGCTGTGGAGTTACAAAGGTGTTTTCATGTGGGTGTTGCAAAGAAAATCACAGTTTTGAAGGAAGAACAAACGAATTACAAGAGAAACAGTAAAAATGGTTTCACAAAGAGGGAAATGTGTATTCGAAAAATATCTTGGAAATGATTGAGAGAGGTGAAAAAAAATGGTTTCATAAAGAGGGAAATGTGTATTTGAAATATCTTGGAAATGATTGAGAGATGTGAGACAATGAAACGCTGAGATCAATGTCACAGCAGGAAGAGGGGCAACATATGGCCCCAGTCCAAGGCAGTTCTTTAATTCCTRTTTAACTTTAAAAGCACCAAATTGGACAGTACACGTGTTGAAAATTGCATTTTTTTTTCCTCAGGGTATTTTCTTCACTGGAGCTCTRTGAGGTACCTAAGACCTGAAGGTCCAAGGGACTGTGAAAAATGTAACTTTGAAATAGAAGTGTAGAAACTGAGAGGTGATAGAAATGGCTCTGCCAAGCCAAGGATTTTTTTTTTTTTCTTTTTTTTTTAAATAGAGAGAAGTGGCCTAATTAAACAGGGAATTTTTCATACTTAGTGTGTGCCTTGAGGACGAGAGTGTTTTAGCAGCTGACTGAAGTTATAGTATATGTACACTTTACTTTAATCAAGTCAATTATTGACTTGATTCATCTATTCACAGTCAATAATACTGTGCTGTATTAAGATTTTAAACAGTGGGTATATTACCATGAAGAGATTTTTTGTCAGGTTGGTATTTATCACTGTGTCTCATATGAAATCCAGTCAGTGATCCTGCAGTGAAGTTTCTGTTGTTATTTTGATTGAAGCTGTGACATGTTATACTAAGTCTTGCTGGGCTTGGACTATGAAGTTGAGGCTTGGGGTGGAATACCAAAATGCCTTTGGAGGCAAATATTTAGAGGCCCTTAGCACTTCTGTAGCTCTTTATGTGGTAATGGCTGTGTAGTTGTGTGTGCAGATTGCCTCCAGGGATGTGKTCTGAACTAGGAAAGGGGARAAAAGGCAATTGCAGTTGTACTGRTSCACTTTGCAGTGCCCCAGAGAGGCMTCTGCAGAAACTGATGTAGGGAGGTGGTTTATAGGCTACAAAGACCTACAGAGGAGGCAATTGGAGCATCCCTGAGGTTATTCCAGGAGTAAAGTTCATAGCAAACATGGACCTGTCTCCTTATCTTTATAAGTTGTGAAGCTCTTCTCAAAATCTTACATCTTAGTTGTTGATTTTTAGTAGTCTTCTCCCTCCAGCTGACACCCTTGCTGTTGCCAGTAAGCCTTCATGGTGATAACTTAAATGTAACTAAAATGAGTAATGTCTCAGTCCCTTTGCCTGTTCTTTARTATCAACAAAGTTTATTTGGAGCATTGCTAATGATCTTCACTAAGAGCAATGATGGTAAAAATACCATTATTTTCCTCATTATGAAATCAAACTAAATTACGAAAGTATGGGCAAAGATGATGTGGTATTACGAACCAAAGCCTACTGTGTGATTTTGTTTAGAGAAATGCTGGAGGCTTTGAAATGTCAAATAGATTCCAATTGTGTAATTTYAGGATCAAATTGTGTTAACACCCATACTTAAATTAAAATAATATAATTTGCTGGTTCGATTCCATTCATCTTCAATAAAAGTAAGTTCCTAAATGAACATGACCTTTTAAAATCCAGATTTCAGGTAGATTTCAGAATCTCAACAGTTACAATTATGGAAGAAAAGATCAGTGGATTTCTACATCATGACTAATGTACTTCTTTAAACACAGTTGTCATAGAATCATAGAATCACAGAATATGCTGAGTTGGAAARGATGAATTGGGATCATCAATTCTWACTCCTGGCCCTGCACAGGATRCCCCAGGAGKGACACCATGTGCCTGCAARCATTATCCAAATGCTTCTTGAACTCAGTTATGATTTACAACCAAGCAATTTAGTTACCTTTCATCCTTTAATCTGTTCATATATCTCCTAAACTTCAGAAATAATCTGTGGGTGTGTCTGTGGGTTGGCCTGCTGTGGTGTGTACCTACTGTATGGTTGTCATATGCTGCAGAAAACTTGGACTCTAAATKGTGAGTGTATATCTGTGTCCAATAGATTTCTTAAGGCATCTTTTGGAACTTAATGCTCTTTCATTTTAACAGAATGTGCTGGTTTTGTGTCTAGAAAATACAGGCAGAAAACTTATGTCACTGGGTGAGGCATTATATAAAATTAAAGCTGCTGGACTTGATTATACACCTCAAGGGACTTGATTATGCACCTCAAGTTAATTCTGTCTTAGAGCCATCAGGGCTGCACTGCTAGCCCTGGAGAAGAGAGAACCAGACAAAACCAGCAGAGATAAGGGAGTTCACATGGGGTTGTTAATGGACAATTCCAAACCTGCCTTCACTAAAATTTCAGTAATTCTGTGAATGGAAAAGGAATTTAGAAACCTGTTAGTACCAGTAGAATGGTATTTACAGTTATCACTTGGACTTGCTTATAGCAAAGTTCTTTGTACTGGAAATTGGTCTTTAGGCTTAAATATGGAGGGCAGTGCTGTAAAACTCTTCAAGGTACATATAACTATGTGTGAAGTGATTAAGGAAGGCAGTTGGGGAAGGGATTGTCACCTATCTTAATTTAAAGACAACCACACTACCACCTTGTTTTTTGTCTTGAATGTTTGGAGCAGGTTTGTCAAGAGCAAATGCCATCTTGTGATGCTAATAATGCCCATAAAGATCTCATTTGCAACAGTGAGAAAGTCATGTTCTTGATAAAGTCAAGATCTTGACTCTTAGAGAAAATACCAGTTCTCTGTAGTGTTTTCTGCTTCTTGAATAAAGAATGTAGGTCATATAGATGAGTTTATAGATTGAGAGGCTTATAGTACAGAAGTCAGGTGACTGTTGGCCTCACCAACCAAATACATTTTAGCAAGCAAGCTTCCAGGCAGGCAAGCATTTTAAACATTCTAATGGGAAGTTTGGAGGTATAGGATACATGTAGGTAAAGTCTGTAAATGTTGGATTACACTCTTCATTTCATTAAGCAAGTTTGACTGTAGAATGGTGTGTGGGCATGGTGGGTTGTGCTTCTCAGCATTTATACATCTCTGGCTTTAAACGCTATTTCTCCCCTAGATAAAGACTTTACTTATTCTGAGTCCTTCTTTTGCTTTCACCAGATATTAGGCCAAATCCCAAGAATCCCAGGGAATCAGCCAAAAGCTGTTCTGGTCTGATTCACATCTGGACTCTATTCATACCCTTATGAGGGTATTCCCAAGCCAATGCAGAATTCTAGCTGGGCTTCTTCTGGAGGAGTAAAGGCAGTCCAGAAGGAAACTGTTRGAATGTTTTAGAAAAGGAATTTCTTAAAGAGGAACTTAAAAACTTCAACTTCTTTCTTTTCTATTTCTTTTTTTTTTTAGATCACCTTTTGCTGCTGTCACAGATTACTCAGTAACAAGAAATAATGTCATACAGCTCTGTCTGGAACTAACAACAATAGTACAACAGGTATGAGACAGTCTGCTTAGCAATTTCTTTTTTTCCTGAACTGTAAATGGCTATTACCTTCTTTGCACAATTTTGTTTTACACTGGCTATATCATTGTCCAACCAAAATAAGGGAATACTAGTACTTAGTAAATGCTTTAAAAAAACTTTGTTTGGTTTTGTAGTACTATTTTGTGTTGTGCTATGTATATAGCTCTGCATATCTGAGCACTGATATTCATCTTGGATTCTGTAGYATAAAATTGAGATATTTACTTGATAATTTGCATATTTAACTCCTTGTGTATTGTCTTTAATTTTAATTACCTGTCTGGTTCCAAAGATGTGTATGTATTGGACTTCAGTAATCTGCTCTTTCATACAGTTCATATCTGGACACCTGTTAAGATGAGGCATGTTCCCATGGGGAAACTACAATATTTTGAATGTATCTTTGTGAATCCTACCTTCAAGGAATCCAAAAGTAGTTACTGAAAAGCTTAATGAGCTTCATTTGGGAGTTCAAACCTTAGAACCTTCCCCACCCTTCTCTGTGTGGTTTAGGTCTGTCTATATTTGCCTGTTCTTYTGCTGAAATGAAAAGTCTCTTTGCTGCCAAGAGAACTTTTAGGCATTGTTTCCACTTGAGAAGGTAGAGTGGAGAGAAGGAGAGAGTGGGTTGGGTAGGAGCACTGAGGAGAATTTTTCTATTTTTTATCTTCAAACTGAGAAAAACTTAACTTCTGACCCAGCTGCCCAAACTGGTCCTTTTCCACAGTTGCTGTGCATCACTGTCTTTAGGTAGTTTTTAGATGAGGGCAAGAGCCACCTGATCCTTTTTTTGTGTCCCCTATTAGTGAGATAATGGGTATAGTAGCAACCACTGCAGTATTTCCCAGGAATTAGCTCAATATCAGTTCATCTTAAAAATTCATCCTTACCCATGATACTGCTAACTCACTATGCTGTAGGTAGATATTTCTCTATGKATATTTTTCAGTGYMAGTGAGAGTAAATGGTACTRTTTAATACCTTGGGAGAGCAGCATTTTCACCTTCTCCAAAAAATGACATAATTCTGCAATCAGGAAGCAGTTTGTGAATACATAATTTGAAGTCAAAGGGTGCATTTATGTGCCCAAATTTGAGCATGTACTGAAATTGAATTGGKTTATATTCAGAAGAATGATAATGAAAAATTCCATTAGTAGTCTCAAACATGTGGTTTGAGCTCTATTTAAAACAAATATATTCCAATGTAGCATTTCAAAATGTCTTAACTGATATTTTTTATATGATCACTGAACACTCTGACAATCCTCACTGTGCTTTCTTAAGGCTGTTAATTAAATCTTTTCCTATCATCTCATCAGGTACTTTTTCTGTCTCAGAATCTATTTTCTTTTGTATGCAAAGGATTTTATAATCTTTTATTAGCTTTTTTTTTTTTTTTTTGTGAAAGACCAACAGAAGGCAATGTTGCAGTTTTTCTTTTAACAGTAGCTAACATCTTTTTATAATGCTTAAAGGTTTATAAAAGATATACAGTCTGTACATTTTTAATACCTTAGCATTTTTTTAAGACTGTTGTAAAATTTAAAAATAGAAGTTAAGTAGCTGAGTTCCAGCAGGATTTTTTTGCGTTGTTTAAATTACAGTCAATGTTCAGATTTATTAACCAAAACCWAAAGGATGATTCTTTAGTCAAGATGAAGAAAAGAAAGTGCTAAAATTAAAGCAGCTTGCTTGAATTATTTTTCACATTTTTGAAGCTAATTGTAATATTGTGTTTCTTCATAGACTTAAATARTATTGGGTTATGTCCGCCTCATTATCAGAACTTAATGAATAATGAAGCAAAATTACAGTATTGCATCACTCTTTTACGTATGAAGTCTGAGAAAACCTATTGAGTGTCTATGTTTTAACCTATAAATAATTAGAAAAGTTGGAGTTGGAGAAAGATTTTGGAATAAAGTGTGGGCAGACACACTCTTTTTTTTGACCATTAAATTTTCTCTTTGTGTTGCACATTGCCCAAGGCCTGGCAGGCCAGTGTGCAGTAGATATTTGCCAGTGAAAGCAGGTTCCTCAGAGCACTGCAATTTATTACTTTTCATAGCCTTTTCCTGCAGGTTTTGGCTCTTAATACTGTCCTCCKTGCTGATGGCTTCTTTAATCCAGGGCTTACATTCCTGTTCATTTCTATAACTCTTCCCTTGCAGCAGAACACTGGAAGAAAATAGAAGGATTTAAATAACAAACAAATCCATGAGACTTAAGGATTTTTGCTACCATTTCCTTGCACCCTCTCTCCTACATATATTTTCCTCTCTGTAGGAATCAAAGGCTGAGAATTATCTGTATTTTCTGTTTCCTTTGCAATGCATAAAAAAGGCCTGTTCTTTCTTGATGGTACAAGATAAATGTTAAAGATCTATGGGTGAACAGGTTTGCTGTGTGTGCATGASATTGTTTTGGGCTGTGCTTTGTACCCATTTGGTTCATTTGTGAATTTAGATTTGTCTTGACAGAATTATTCCAACCACAAATACGTATCAGGAAGAGCATGAGAGAATTGATGGTGTTGATGAAAGTCTTGCTGTTTTCTGAGATGGTTGGGTTATACAGCTTCAGAGGATGCCAAAAACTGGTCCTTTTTTTTGGTTTAGAGAGGTAGCAGGTAGCTACACTGATCATTTTAAGGAATAGGAGATTTCTTGCTTTCTTAGGCARTCTGTAGGTAGCTTTAACTATCATTCTCAATGCTCTTATTCCTTAGGAATTCATTAAGGTTTCACTRAAGAAGCTTTCTTCTTTAGAATTAAAACCCTGAAAATCTTGGGAATATCTGAAAAGTCTAATTTTATATTGACTTTGTAAGTTACCAGACAGTTAAAGAAAACTTTGCTGCTGAACAACCTATTTCTTTTATTGCTCTTTAATAGTGATCATTAGTAGCCCTCATCACGTTTTTTTTTTATTTTTCACTTTCCTTAATCAGCTTTCACAATGATTTGCAGTGTTTATTTAGTTTTAAAACCACTGATGTTTATCTTGCAGCTTTAGTGTCTTGTGGGATTTACTTAGCAATATGCTCCAGTAGAAGCAKAGCTTTAGGCCTGTAAATACTCCTTTAGAAAAGCTTCACTGCATTTAGTCCTCTGCCTAAAAACCCCTCTTTGAAGAGTTGTGATGGAAGCAATGCTGTGTAATTGGGGTGGAGATGGAGAGCAGCTGTCTGACAGCAACTTTTGGAGGAAATCTCAGATTTTTGGATGACATGGGGTGAAAACCTGAGTGATGCAATTTGGGAGGYGGCAGCCAGGACGAAGATAGCAAAGAGAGACCAAAATAATCCCATACAAATGTGCTGTCTGGACATTATGGGCACGTGGGATTTTGAGCTAAAAGCCCTTCTGTAGAGCACACAGAAATGCATTTCTTCAACTGAGGGGTTTGGAACTTTTTTCCCATTTAAAGACATTTCAGATACAAAAAAGAAAGCGTCCATATTTATCCCTTGCCCAATGGACACATTTCCCTTGCTAGGGGATGTTCTTTGTTGGGCTTTTAGCCATTGCTATTTTTCAGATAAAAGATATTGAAAAGGACCACGAATTGTTTCTTGAGCAATGCACTATTTTTTATATTATAGTGCATTTAGTAATCAAATGGCTGTAACTCAAAAGAGAAATGTTTCAAATATGAAGTTTCACCTAGAAATGTAAGTTCAAGCTTGTTTTCCAGTTAAAAGGATTAAATGGAAATTTACCTTCTTAGCTCCCCTCCTCTGACTCACAGTCCAAATGCAGTAATATAAAGTGGTTCTATTAATTTGGTAAGGACAATATCAAATACATGAATGAAGGAGAATMATTAATATCCTTAGAACCATTCTTACAAATTATGTTTCATATGATCTTTTCTATCACAATTCCTCACTTTTGTTTTTAAGTTCTAATTATTAAGGACTTTGAGGACTCACTAAATATAGCTTAATTTTTTTTTAATTTCAGGTCATACCAAGTAGCTAATTACCTTGGGTATCTTTAGCTAATAAAATGGTTTTAATAGCTTGGTGGTGTGAATCTTTGGATCATCATTAAAGTTGCTTTGCACCTCTAGATTGTAGAGCTTTTCAAAGCAACATGTGTTTGCTGGAAACAGTTTCATGTTAAATTTTAAACTTTTTTATTTGAATTTTAACTCTATTCCTTCCACTTCAACTTTATTACCAAATGCTTGCAGGAAAATCTTTGTTAGCCTACTGTGGAAATAATCCCTTCCTTCTCCCCTTTAGATAAAAATATTCATGGCAAGGAGGCCACATTCTTGAAGTTTTATATATATATATATATAAATATATATATATGCATTTGCTGTTTTTGAAACTATACAAGTAAGGAGTAGGTGTACAAGTAAGTAGTTAGATAAATGTGGGGGAAATTTAGAACAAAATAGCTCCCCTTGAAAACAATTCCCAGGCAAAATCTGCCTAAATACATGAAAGTAAAAGGGGCTTCATATCTTCTTCTTATATATATGAGAATATTATAACTCATTGTAAGTAATGCTTAAATGSAGAAATTCAGACTCACTTGTGTTCTTCAAGTGCTGCTCTTATGCAAGATTTTCTGTTWTATAGGTTTCAAAGCAGCTCTCAATGGTGGTGTTTCAGGATAGATATTGTTCTGTTCAGTTGTTTTCTTCACTTTTAAAATGCATATAATATATATCTGTTCAGAAATAGAAATGAAAGGACTGTGGGAAACATGAAACTGTTGTTTGTTTACAAGAAGCTATATCAAAGTAGTTTCAATTTATGCTCTTCAGCAATGTTTTTCTCTTTTTCATAGTAGCTTATTTCTCTTAGACCCCACATATATGGAAAATTTCAGATTTAATTTAATGTGATGTAAGAAGTGCCCAAGGTACTTAGCACTGATGCCTTTTCCTGATTCTGGCAGTTTCTTCTGTTTCCTTAAAATGGTTTACTTGTATATATATATATATATATATTTTTATTTAAGTTTTTGAAATGGAATTCAGCATGGAATGGCTCAAAGCTTAAAACACCTATAACAGACTATTGGGATGAACCACTACTAGAGCTAATTTAATGACTCATTAGTTGTCATTGAGATAGATGCTGTTCAGAGGTGTGGGGTTTTCTTCCTGAAGTTGTGTAATTCTGTGTTTGTAATGTGACATTTCAAAGTGGCTTATGAAGCTACCACCCTGTAAAGCCTTGGSAATTTGTTTTCTTTCCCATTCTCAGAGAAAGTAATTTCTTTTCCTGGTGAAGAGAAGGAAAAAAACCCAAAACTGAAAACAAAGAAAACATGAAAAAACACAAGGTGGCTTAGTATGGTGGCTTAATAAAAAGTATGGTGGCCAGAAAGCAAAAAATGGGTTGGTGCTTGTTTGTTTGGTTCTTTTTAGGCTTTTGGTTTGTTTTTTTTTTTGTTTGCTTGCTTTTCTTCCAGATTAATGATTGCTAGTCTCTGAACATGGGGGAAAAATGAAACACAAAGCAGAATAATTTGTGAAAAAAAAAGAGTATTCTTTTTGGCAGGGCATATGCTGGTAAACCAATGCAGCTGTTCAATTTTTCCAAGAAAAGGAGCCTGAGTGGGTCAYGGTGACAGTGAAGGAGTCAGGGACTGTGAATTCATTCATTTGTGGAACCACATGCAGAAAGTARCAGAAAGCTGGTGGAAACTGAGAGAAAGTGTAGACAGGGGGAGGAGAATTTTTGTAGCTCATGTTTCCTTAAAACAAAAACTCTTTTTTTAAACCAATGTAGGCATTGTGTCCACAGCATCACAGAATAGAGGCAAACAGAGGATATGCCATTCTCTGTGTAATTTGTTATAAATGGTAAATTTAATGATTAATGATGACACATTAAGATTGTGTTGGTCATGCCAGTAGATGTGAAGACCAAGACTCCACATTTCTTTTAATTTGAAAACTGATCTCCCTCCCTTCTAAAGATAGAATAAAAGAGTCTGTAACCAGGCACAGTGAAGCAAAATTCCAGTTCAGTACAGTGAATTACAGAAACTGTGTGTTGCTAAGTAGTTGGTAAAAGCCTTAAGCATGAATAAGCTCAGTGTCTGTCTTTATTTCAGGAATATGTATGTTTTTTTTGCTTAAATCCATTACAAATACATACATTTCAGATGATCCAATATGAAACATTCAAGTT